CATCCTTAGGCCACGCACCATTTCCCTAAGCATTGCAATCCTAAGGCGTCATCGGGGTGCGGCAGTGTCGTCTTCCCCCTCGCTTCTACAAGCTCCTCGAATCTCATGCATTCCATCCATCATTATTGAAGCCGGCCCCTTGGTCTTTCCGGGGCCATCATACACATGTACAAACTACTTCACAGACCGCTTAGCAAGGTTGCACTTCTTTCTTTCATTTATACTCCGAGTCACATGCACAAGGGTCACTCCCATGGTTTGATTTTACGCTAAGGGTCTTGTAGCCCCTTTTGCCCCCTCTTCCCTTTTCCTTCGCCGCCCGGTCTCTCCCGGCCCCGTCCCGTTCAAGGCATCCCAAGCCTTTACTTACCTGCGCAATCCCACACAAAGCAAAAACCGATACAATCCCCCATTGGGGTCAACACATAGCCCTTCCCGCATGCCTAACTTTCCTTCTTTTCTTTGGTCTTTCCTTGTGCTCAATCAACCCATTCTCTTCCTGTAGTCATGCAGTCGGGGAAATGGTTGAGTCAAACTGACCTTGCTCTAAATTATACTTTTTCTCGGACTCTGCCTTCTCCCAATATTTCAAATATTCGTTCCTTTCCTTCTTGGCGGCACAAGGGACCGGCTACCCTTCCCTTGCCCTCTTTCTCCACCAAGTGAGGCCAGATTTCTTTTACCGCTTGTCCCCCGGCAATGTAACACATGAATAATGAAGGGTTAGTTATACGCCAGGTGGGGGAAGGGAAAAAGGGGGCAAGATGAAGAGGGAGAGAGGGCGAATGAAAGAGAGAGAAAGAGAGAGAGAGAGGGAGAGAGGGAGGGAGAGAGGGGGAGGGAGTATGAGAGAGAGGGACAGAAAGAAGAGAGAGAGAGAGAGAGAGAGGGAGAGAGAGAAAGAGTATGAGAGTGAGAGAGAAGGAAGAGAGAGATAACTAGTCCTAATCAAATCATATTTCCGTAATAGCAGCCAAATGTTGGTCACCCATCCCACAGTTGTAGCAACCAAATGTCGGTCACCCATCCCTCAGTTGTAGCAGCCAAATGTCGGTCACCCATCCCATAGTGAAAGAGCACCCAAATGTGAAACGGAACATTAACACACACGTGGACTTGACAAAGTGAGGATTGAACTAGCAAAAGCACATGCCCATAAGTGAAAGAGCAACCAAGTATGAAATGGAACACTACCACACACATGGATTTTTCAAAGTGAAGATTGAACTAGTGAAGCACATGCGCATGAGTTGAAAGATCAACCAAGTGTGAAACGGAACACTACCACATGCTTGAACTTGACAAAATGAAAGTTGAACACGTGAAAGCACATGCACATGAGTGAAAGATCAACCAAGTGTGAAACGGAACACTACTACACACATGAACTTGACAAAGTGAAGATTAAACTAGTGANGAAGATTAAACTAGTGAAAGCACATGCACATGAGTGAAAGATCAACCAAGTGTGAAACGGAACACTACTACACACATGAACTTGACAAAGTGAAGGTTGAACTAGTGAAAAGCACATGCACATGAGTGAAAGATCAACCAAGTGTGAACCGGAACACTACTACACACATGAACTTGAAAAAGTGAAGATTGAACTAGTGAAAGCACATTCACATGAGTGAAAGATCAACCAAACGTAAAATGGAATGTCATTATGTGAGAGTTGAGCCATACATGTGAGTGAGACTTGCTCAAACACATGTTTGTGGCCCATGAATACAACCAAGCATGAAACGGAATGTCATCATGTGAGAGTTGAGCCATGCATATGAGTGAGACTTGCTCAAACACATGCTTGTGGCCCATGAATACAACCAAGCATGAAACAGAATGTCATCATGTGATAGTTGAGCAATGCATGTGAGTGAGATTGGCCCAAACACCTGCTTGTGGCTCATGAATATAACCAAGCATGAAACGGAATGTCATCATGTGAGAGTTGAGCCATGCATGTGAGTGAGACTTGCTCAAACACATGCTTGTGGCCCATGAATACAACCAAGCATGAAACAAAATATCGCCAACTACTATGTGAGTGAAAGCATGGCTAGACTAGATCAAAACCCAAGATTAGAGCATGAGATCAACCAAGGAAGAATCGGAACATCCCCTACTACCATGTGAGTGAAAATCATGAGTTAAACTAGATCAAAACACAAGATATTGGAGCATGAGATCAACCAAGGAAGAATCGGGACATCACCTACTACCATGTCAGTAAAAAGCATGAGCTAAACTAGATCAAAACACAAGTTTGAAGCATGAGATCAACCAAGGAATAATAGGGACATCACCTACTACTATGTGAGTGAAAAGCATGAGCTAGACTAGAGAAAAACACAAGATTGAATCATGATATCATTCAAGGAAGAATCGAAACATCACCTACTATCATGTGAGTGAAAAGCATGAACTAGACTAGATCAAAACACAAGTTTGGAGCATGAGATAAACCAAGGAAGAATCGGGACATCACCTACTACCATGTGAGTGAAAACCATGAGCTAGATTAGAGAAAAACACAAAATTGAAGCATGAGGTCAACCAAGGAAGAATCGGGACATCACCTACTACTATGTGAGTGAAAAGCATGAGCTAGACTGAAGAAAAACGCAAGATTGAAGCATGAGATCATTCAAGGAAACATCAAAACATCACCTACTATCATGTGAGTGAAAAGCATGAGCTAGACTAAAGAAAAACACAAGATTGAAGCATGATGTTACATGTTGCACGTGCACACGCAGGCCATTTTGTAGGCCTGCGTCCTTCATGCCAAAAGCATGAACTTCAGGCCGAAAGCCTGAAATCCAGGGCTTACAGTCCCCATGTCGGTTCATCCCGAAAGCCTGAATTCCAGGACCTATCCCTATGTCGTTTCAGACTAAAAATGGCAACAGCCTTTTTAGCCTGAAACGAAGGGCCATTTTCGGTCGTTCATCAGAACGACCGGCCCTGAAACTCCGGCACCGAACCAGGGTTTCGGGAACAGACTATTATTAGTCTGTTTCCCACGCCAGCCCCTGGCACACTTCGGCATTGGCAAGAGCTGCCTCCTCGGCCTGACTCGCCCTCCAGTAGTCAGGAGGCAGGCCGAGGTAGTACATAGGACTTCCCAGACACTTCCGAGGTAGGCAGTCGGTAGTCGTAGTCTTCAGGATTCGGGAGCAACACTCTGGAGGGAGCGCTGCAGTGTAGTAGTAGTAGCGTTAGCTTGTAGTCTTCAGCGCTGGGCGCAATAGGTAGTTGTAGTCTCCAGCGCTGGGCGCCATAGCTAGGTAGTACTAGAGAGAGAGAGAGAGAGCTTGGGCGGAGGCCAGAGGTACCTACCTGCAGCGTCGTTGCTCCAGCTTCGTCTTCGAGGTACCTGCAGCACAGCGCCAACATCTCAGGTTAGTACCTGGGTCGTAACAGTGAGAGAGAGAGAGTTCTTATTCTTCCTCTTCTCAATCCACCATCTTCTTCTCTCCCTCTCAACTTCTGACTTCACTGCATCTGCAGACTACGAGAGAAGAGAGACAGCGCTTGGTGACATTGGACCCAGACTCGACTGTTGGGACTTCAGATATGGTAACGAGCGATTGTTTGGGATTGGTGACGAAGACTTGGTGTTAACGACATTCCCATCTTTCCCCCTCCTTTCGTCTGATCCTTACCTCTTCGTCTGTGTATGTTTGGA